TCACTGGTCACTCCTCTACTATTGTGAATTATATAGACTCTGACCCAATCAAGGAAAGATTTTTTGGCTTGTTCTGTTCAATTTCTGGTTAACGGTAACTCTCAGGATGTGATAGTAGACAATCCCATTGAATATCAAGGGGACATGTTTACATTCCGTCTAATTGGAGATGGTCATTGCATGGCAGTTGTATGGTGCCAATGTTACTTGCCACTTTTCAGTCCAAGCCTAGATATCATTCAGGTCTTGCTGCATTTCATCATGGCATCTTTCAGTATCTGTGGCATTGCAAAAGATGCTGAACATTGTTCAATCATCAGTAACACTTCTGACCTTATGATGTAACATAGACAAAACAGCTGATATTGGTTTGGCCTAGATCATAACACTGAGAAACTAGGGCTCTCTTGTGGTGTACTGATGGTGTCTGTAGAAAAAGAGGCCCAGGTTCAAGTGTGTAATAACATCTCTGAACAGGTTGTTTAGAACAATAGGTTAAAAAAAAACAAAAAAAAGGGACACTCCTGTGCAGATGTCCTGGAGCAGAGATGACTGACCTCCAACAACCATGACCATCTACCTTTGTGTCATGTATGACTCCAACCATTGTAGAGAAACCGCCACCCCCCACCACACCTCCCCGATCTCCATTGACTAGTTTTCTATGGTTCCTTGATGCCACATCCTGTCAGACATGGCCTTGATGTCAAGGGCAGTCACTCTCATCTTCCCTTTAGAGTTCAGCTCTTTTGTTCATATCTGAACTAAGTCTGTGATGAAGTCAATGGCTGAGCAGCCCTGGAAGAACCCAAACTGAGAACCTGTGAGCAAGTTATTGCTAAGCAAATACTGCTTGATAGCACTGTTGAAGGCCTGTTCCATCACTTTAATGATGATCGAAAACAGACTGATAGGGTGGTAATTGGCCAGGTTGGATTTATTCTTTTTGTGTACAGGACATAACTGGGCAATTTGCCTGGTAGATGTCAGTATCATAGCTGTAAAGGAACAACTGTCTCGGCTTTTGCTTTGTGCAGTCTTTCAGAGACCAGCTGGTTAATTAATTGTTTTCCCTTTTAAAATGGCAACCATTTAAATTCCTATATTTGTGTTCTAGAGGTAAAATCATAATATACATTTGACTAAACCTGACTGGCTTACAGTCAACCCATTATACATCTTAATCTTCACTTTTGGCAACTATGCTTCTAGTGGTCTGTGCCTTAGAATCTGGATTTTTAAAATTTATTACGCATAGGATATGGTATTGCTGGCTTATCTGGCATCCCTCGAGAAATTAATGGTTTTGTCTTCTGTTGAGTCCATTTGATGTAAGTCCACTCACAACACTGTTAGGGACGGAATTCCAGGATTTTGACCCAGCAACAGTGAAGAAACAGTGATATATTTCCAAGTCAGGGTGGGGGTGGTGAATAACTTGGAGTGGAAGTTGCAAGGAAGTTCCCATGTATCTGCTGCCCTTGTTCTCTGGATGGCAGTGGTTAAGCAGTGCTGCTTGATAACAGTGCTGATGATCACTTCCATCACTTTACTGCTTACTGAGATGGGATTGATTGGGCAGTGACTAACCAGATTAGATTTGTCCTGCTTTACGTGTATAGAACATACCTGGGTAATTTTCCCACATTGTCATGTAGATGTCAGTGTTGTAACTGCATTGGAAATGCTTGGTATGGGCCACTGCGGGTTCTGGGGCAGAAGTCTTCAGTAATATTACCAGAATGTTATCAGACCCCACAGTCTTTTCAGTATCCAGTACCTCCAACTGTTTCTTGATATCAAATAGAATTGTCTGAAGTCAAGTATCTGTGATGCTGGGGGCCACTAGAGAAGGCCACGATCGTTCATTTACTCAATACTTTTGGCTGAAGATTATTGTGAATTCTTCAGCCTCATCTATTGCACTGTCTGCTGGGCTCCCCTGTTATTCAGAATGCGGATGTTAATGGAGCATCCTTCTCCAGTGAATTGTTTGATTGTCCACCACTCATCACAACTAGATGGGGCAGGGATTATAAAGCTTAGATCTGACCTGTTGGTTGTAGCACTACCATTAGATTTTGTTGGATTCAGATTTCATCCCCTGCAATGGTGGGTTTTGAACCCATGTCCCCACAGTTATGGGGTTCTGGATTATAAACCAAATGACAATATTACTATGTCACCATCTGCCCTATAATCTGTAATCACATATAGGAATTAACTGATCAATCTTGCCACACAATGGAGTACCAACAACAATTTGTATTGTACTTTTATATATAATAATACTGGGGGCTGTTGTGGCATAGTAGTAGTATCCCTACCTTTGAGCTATGAGGTCTGGGTTCAAGCCCCATGTGTCCCAGCAGTGTGTAATAACATCTCCAAACAGGGTTATTAAAAAAAATCTATGTAATAAAACCTCCCAAGATGTTTCAAACTGGATTATTATAAAGCAAAATGTATGTTAAAACAGTTAATAAAATGTTTGGCCAAGAGGTGGAGAATCTGGAAGGTTGAAAAGGAAGTAGGTATGGAGAGGGATTTAGTGAGGACATACCAGAGCTTACAGCTCCCTCATACATGGAGGAGCAATTAAAATTGGAGATGCTCAAGAAAGCAGAATTGTAGAAATACAGATGTCATGGAGAGTTGTGGGGCTGGAGGAGATTGCAAAGATAGAGTATTGGGAGATCTTGAAAAACGAAGATCTTGAAACTTGAAAACAAGGTTCAGGATTTTAAAATTGAGGCATTGCTTAATCAGAAGCCAACATGGTCAGGGACCACAGTGTTGGGGGGGAGTTTGACTTGGTGCAAATAAAGATGTGAAGATTCACCTTACGTTTCTGCAGCCTAGTAGTAACAAAGAAATGGTTAAGGGTTCTAAAAAGCTGATGAGCATAATTACTTACCTGGATAGATATCTTGGAAATGTTGGACAAAAAGATACTAATTTAACTCTGTAACTAACAAACTGCCTCCTGCCATCATTTTACGAATCCCCTGGTTGGAGTTCTGTAGCTTAAAGGGACCAATATCAGCAGCGTGCAAAGTGGGAATTTCTTAATGATGTCAGAGTCACTTAGAGCCATAGAGTCATATAACACAGAAACGGACTCTTTGATCCAACCAGTCCATGCCGAATATAATCCCAAACTTAACTAGTCCCACCTGTCTGCTCCTAGCCTGTATCCCTCCAAACCTTTCCTGTTCATGTACTTATCCAGATGTCTTTTAAATGTAATTGTGCCCGCATCCACCACTTCCTCAGGAAGTTTATTCCACAAAAAACCAAGTAATAAGAGGTGGAAGGGAGCAGAAACCTAAAGCCCATTGTGAAGATAATGCGTGTATAGATCAAGCTGTAAATAAAGATTCTTGGAGAATGGTCCATGAACTCCAATAGCATTACTTAGGGGGTCTGAACAGTGTTATACCCTAAACATCTAAAATATCCACTGACCTTTAAACAACTTCTTGGACCCCTGATTTGATGCAATTACTCCCCATGACCAAACTCTGTACACCTGCTAAAAATACCTGATGTGCAGAGTCTCCTTCGTCCAATTATGTCCCAACCTGACCTAAATGCTCCCCCCCCGATTGGTATCCCTCAAAAAGGCCTGATGAGTCACTAACCTGACATCCCCGTCCCCCCCCCGCAACCTACCTATCCATCTCTCCCATCTGCCACAAACTTGCTTGCCACTTTGCAAATTAACTTACCCCCTTAGACTCTACCCACCTGCTACCTTACCCCCTCACCCACTTGCAATCCTATTGATCTACCTATGTATCTCAGTCACCCTATTCATTTATCCCACTCACCTCAACCACCAAAATATTCTACCCATTCATTCACCCCCTCACCCATTTACTCATTCACTAATATTCAGACCAGACATTTAAAAATTTACAGCAGACAGTGTCTGAGAAAATAGCTACATCTTCTTGCTGACCTTTTCTGCTGGTCTCTGTAAAGCAGGAATTCTACTACATTGAAAGTCAGAAATATTTAACAATATCCAAGCAAACTGATCTTTTTCTGTCTGTTCAACATCAGTTTCAGCAGTTCCAATGCTGCAGAAGAGTTAGATCCATGTTTAGATTCTTCCATATCAGGTTTCTGCCTAAACCATTGCACTAATATGGGTTAGGTCAAATATGTATCTCATGTGATTGTGGTAAACTATCCCTCCTTGTTTTTCCTAACATGTCTGTAGCCTTCAACACAGTTACTCATAAAAGCCAAACAGCCAGGAAATATTTTAAGTTCAATAAATCGAGTCTGTCAGGAATAAATTATATGATAAAGAAGTAAAGCTGGAATGACTCACAACATTAGGTTTGCCAAAGTAAAAGAAATATGTGTAGTTTTTGAAAATTCATTATCAAAGGAACATTAAAGACATAGAGAGCGTGGATTCGCTAGATGACAACAGGGATGGTGAGTTATACCAATGAGGAGACGTGTGATACACAATCACTAGTTCCACTGGAACAGAGAAGTGAAAGAAGGAAAATGATGCGGATATTTAAAATTAAGAAATATGTTGAATAGGAAAGTTATTTCCTATGGCTAAGGAGTCAGTGATAGAGAGTCAGCAACATGAAATATTTTAGAAAGGGTTAAAATAAATGTCTTTACTCAGAAAGATTTAGGAGAATGGTAGGCTGTGTTACAGCAAATGGTTGAGACAGAAATCATTATATCTTTTAGAGGGAAATTGAACAAATCTTTGAAACATAATTCTACAAGTCTATGGGGAGAAGGTGAAGCAACATGAGAGGTTGAACAGCTTGATTTTGAGCTGTAGGTTTTTACAGCTCTGTAATCAGACAGCCCTAATTAAGAAGATACGCAAGCAAATTACACTTGAATATGGATATTCTGAACCACAACACTGAAACTGGTTAATAATTCATAATTATTCAGTTGGAATTTGCCTAAAAATTGTTGCATTTTCTAATTAAGATATATTTTGTTTTGTACAGCAATGGAATGGAAAGGATACAGCATTGATGGTGACAAGGGTGGTTAACCACAGACGTTTTTCTGCCACTGTCAGTGTGGCAGATACATCACAGAAGACTACAAGTAAATATAGATGTGTGATTCGCTCAGAAGGAGGCTCGGGAGTGTCCAACTATGCAGAACTAATTGTGAAAGGTGAGCCACTGCTAATGTGTTCTTATTGAAACCACTGAAGCACAAATTGGATAAAAGCAATAGAACGTGTTATCGCAAGTCCAGTAGAGTAATATAGTTTGTTGGTGTGTGGAAACTTCCATTGCCTTGGTTCAGTAAAATAGCTCTGATATTTGCATATATATTGTATTCATGTTATTATCATTTGATGAGGTGCCATGTTGCATGCAAATAATTACAGGTGCAAAGAGCAAAATGTTTGCAGATGTATTAATTGAAAACAATCACGGTACTTACAGAGGAGACATACACTTGCAATAATAAACTAGATATGTCAAATTTAACCTTGTGTTGGATTATTACTGTCACGTTGTCAGAATATTCAAAAGAATATATTGCATGCTATGGGTAACATGAAAAGCATCTCAGCCTTCATCTGCCATTATGCATTGTTGGCATTATGGATTGTTGAGTGTCTCTTGATTGTGTAACCTTAATTGTAGGTCTTCTACAAGAGTTCATTGGCTGATTGAAGTTTGTAGCAAGTCTTTCAAAAATAGTGTAGATTTTCTGTCTTCTTTTTTCACCTCAGTTTTTGAGAAGCTGTCTGTAGACCAAATGAGAGTCAGAATATTATTATTGCCTATTGTCAAATAGATGGCCTGGTCACAAGTACACAAAAGACCTGATGATTATCTTCATTTTTTTTGTTTCTTTGGAAGTTTGAGCAAAGCATTCAGTGAACTCTGAAAGCTAGAAAACTCTTTTAGCTCAGAGCAGGCTATGTTATCAAAGAGATGGGCAGAGTTTAAGAAGATTTTCTGGTTTCAATTTATATGTGTGCTTACAAGAAGTTAGTTGCATCGGCAGTTTAAAGCTGAGAGAGTGCTCAAGCAAAGAAGTAGCTTCAGACAGCACAAATGTTGTCATTAGCAGACTTCAGGCAATTAATGCAGGAGAAGTCCATGGAAGCCTTGATACTTCAATGCACCTGAGGGTGGGGTGAAGGAAAGCCTCAATCAGTATTTGTTTGGTGTAGCTGATAACTAGTTTCCCAAGCTCCAATATCTTTCTGCGAAAGAGTTTGAAATGCACCCTTAAATTAGTTCCTTGCTGTGTAGTCTCAAGAACACAATGAAACATAATCTCAGGGGAAGACATTGAAGAACCTTGATGTCAGCAGTCACTGAGGTAGTACTCAATGAAGTGGCTTAAAAATGGGTTTCATAGTCAGATTCTCAAAATGTGAAGACTTGGAATTCCATGAAAAGGCGACAAAGTTTCAGGGTGATTTTATTACCTATGAATTCACTAACATCTAAGGGACTTGCTAAGAAACCTGTAGGATTCATGTTGAGCGCATCAACCATTTAAAGTGCAGTGTACAGGGGTATTCAACAGTTGGTCCTTTTTCTGATATTTACCTCATGTAGATTATTTTACTGTCCAAACATTGTATGCAAAGTTCAGTTTGTTTGTTTAACACTGTGGTATCTTGTGACATTATTCTCCTGATAAATACCTAGGATGTCAACCTTTGCCAACTGCAAACAAAAAAGGCTTCTGACCTCTACCCAAAAAATTAATACAAATTTGATGGCTTTGTCAGGGGTCACATTACAGAGCAATATCCTTTTCAGGGCAGAGTTTGGGCAAGGTAGTGCTCTAAATTAAATCATAGAATCTCTACAGTGTGTAAGCAGGCCATTTGGCCCATCGAGTTTACACTGACCTTCCAAAGAGCTTCGCACTCACACACGTTCCTTACCCTATGCCTGCAACCCTGCATCCCTGTATATCATAGCTAATCCACCTAGCCTGCACATCCCTAGACACTGTGGACAATTTAACATGGCCAATCCACCTCAGCTGTATGTCTTTGGACGTCTATACCTCCATGTCCTTCCTGGACATTGAGCAAGTACCTGTTTTTAGTCAAATGGAAAGGGAGAGGATCCTATAGTGTTTATGTTAGTTTTGGCTCAGTGGGTAGAATTAGGCTATCATCACTTGACATTATGCAGAAGCAAATTAAACAGCAACTCTCAATATCTGCAAATGGGTAGCTAAATGCAGAAATTAGGCAACTATTGTCCCATTTTCCCCATTCCTCCCCAAGCCAGTAACTTCCCCAAAGTCTTTGTATTGAAATATGTGAATTATCTGAAGTTATGGTACTTACCTGCCAAATACTACGCAACTCAAAAATGTGAGGGATTCTCCAGTCAAGTGACTTATTTTTGTAAAGATGTGCCATGTAAATTTCATATTTTACCAAATAATTAGTAATTTGTTCTAGATGATGGTGGTGGTAGGGATAGGTTTAGGGAAATCATCTCTATCCTTGCTGGCCATGTAAATTTTATATTTGTCTCTCAAGTCAGTGCCACTTAAGGTTGGAACGTTCTCATTCTTTGTGCTATGTTCAAACAGATAGACATGGTCTCAACCTCATTTCAAACTGAGAAATTGTGTTGCATTTCTACCATAACAGTGTACCATGATCATTGTAATATGTTTATCTAAATAAGGTGTGATCATTACAGTAGGATTATACTCAAATGTAACACGGAAAATGGGACTCAGTCAATTGGCTAGCACTAAAAACTGAAGTTAATTTTCAGATTCTGAAGATCAAATTATTCTCAACATTTTTATATAAGTAAAAATATATTTTCCTTCTGAAATCCTCAAGAATCAAATCCAATAATCAAAGACAGAATGGATTTCCAAGTGGAGACAGTTTTGTAAGTACAGTGCATTAAATGTCATTTGATTTCAATTACACTGTAAATAATCTTCCCAAGTGTAATAGATTTGAAATGTGTCTTCAGCATTCGATTATACTTTTTGTTAAAACAGGCAGATGTTTTATCCAGATTCATTAAACAAAGACTTAAAATTTTGTTAAGGAAGTAACATAATTTGCACCAATTGTAATTCATTGAACTCCAATTTGAAAACAGGCAACTTAAGGTAATTTTATTTTAAGCTAACTGAAAAAAGTATATCAATGTTTAACCCTGTGATGTCCGGTTGTATTTTCCTTGGAAGATCGAAGATTTCTTTTAACCACAAAAACAAAATTAGACATCAATTCAGTTTGAGCATGAATTGAGAGTTTTGGGGGAAGAAAAATTGAAAAAATCATCACAACATTTCTTAATCAGAAATGTTTGCTTACTCCCCAAAATGTAATAACTGACAAGTACAAATATTAATTTATTTATTTGACCATCTTTAGTTTTTATATGCCAACTGAAAAAGTGAACAAGTGACCTTCCATGGAGAGTGCACCAATGCTGAGTAGCGCCATATAGAAAGGTATTGAAGAGAAAGACTCTGGATAACCCACTTCTCAACTTTTCCCGAAAGTGGTGATATTTTCACTTTTAATTAATCCACATCATTTTAATTCACATCATTTATTCCTGTTTCTTTTCAACGGCACTATAATCTGTTACCAGCATCTAAATGCTCTTGTTTCCAATTTAGTTACTGGATACTTTATCCTTTGATGAGTTCTTTTCTCTACCAAGTGGACAGGTGTGATAATTTATGACATAATTATGAGGAAATCAGTAAGCTCATCTTAACATATTCTTTTCAAACAAGCTAAAATTAGTACAAATTGTCTACAATTAAACCTAATTAGTCCATATTCAGTATCCAGTCACGTTGGGCTCTTGTGGCACAACGCTCATGTCCCTGCCTTTGAGCCAGGACGCTTGGGTTCATATGCCCACTTGCTCTGGATAGGTTGATTTTTTAAAAAAATGTTTAAGCATTGTTTAAATAAACATACCAGGCTTTGTCATCACACAGGCTGCTACCACAAGCAACCATTGTCTACTAATAGTCTCCGTTAGCAGCTATTCATTCTCCCAAGCAGACCTTTGTCTGCTGTACGGTTTTTCTCTCTCTTTGGGCTCTATCTCCACCTGTTGTTTACTCTTCCCCCCTCCCCCCGCCCCCATCCCATCTGCTGCCATTTGCTCACTACCATCTGTTCTGAAGAAGGGTTACTAGATCCAAAACATTAACTCTGCTTTCTCTCCAGAGATGCTGAGTTTTTCAAGCAATTTCTGTTTTTTGTTTCTGATTTCCAGCATCCACAGCTCTTTCAGTTTAATGTTTAAATAATATTGAGAAAGATTTGGTAGAAGCATATTAAGTAACATACAGGAACCAAGCTTAGTCACGTTACACAAATGCTATGTAAAGGCTTTTGTGGCATTATGGTAATGTCCCTGCCTCTGACCCAGAAGGCCTGGTTTCAAGTATCACTTGCTTCAGGCGTCTAATAATACGTTTGAGCAGGTTAATAAAAAATATCGATAAATAACAAGGAACTATAATGCCTAGGTTCAAATTTCACCTGCTCCAGGGCTGCTTCATAAAATGTCTAAACAGGTTGAATAAATGTATCTACAAATAATAATATGAAAAGCTGTTGTGATAGTGGTAGTGTTCCTGCCTTTGGGCAAGAAGGTCCCACCTGTGCTGGAAATTCTCACAATGTGTCCCAATAGGTTGATTCACACTATAGGTGCTTACAAATAATAAGGACTGGCAGCGCATTTGAGAAGTATAAGACATTGGATTCTGGTTCCAGTCTCTTTAGAGGCGTAGGATTGAATTCTACTCCTGGCAATTATGTGAAAAGTTTCTCATTCAGTTGCTTTATTATTTTCTTAAAGGACTCTTGTAGTGCAGTAGTGGTATCCCTATCTCTTGACCAGGAGTAGTGGGTTCAAGTTCGAACTTCTCCAGAGACATATATCTACAAATATTGCCAAAAATATAATGCAGAAATCATATTATATGAAAAATCTGCATTCATATTAGCAACAACAAATTAAATACAAACTGGTAAAATGTTGCTATCCACAGTTATAAATTCCAGATTAAACTTTAGACAAAAATAGTCCATCTGTGTCAGATGTTTCCAACATCTCACAAGAGTGCTGTCATTTTCAGTTTCTGCAACGTAAGCCATGTGTCTTTTAGGACTCTGCAGT